CAACCAGTTGTATTGAGAAAATCAGTACAGGAAATGAAAGGGGAGAATGAAGGTTAAGTGAGATCACAAACATTGGTGGTAAAGAGACTTCAACCAGTTGTATTGAGAAAATCAGTACAGGAAATGAAAGGGGAGAACAAAGGTTAAGTGAGATCACAAACATTGGTGGCAAAGATACTTCAACCAGTTGTATTGAGAAAATCAGTACGGGAAATGAAAGGGGAGAACGAAGGTTAAGTGGGAACACAAACATTGGTGCCAAGGAGACTTCGACCAGTTGTATTGAGAAAATCAGTACGGGAAATGAAAGGGGAGAACGAAGGTTAAGTGAGAACACAAACATTGGTGCCAAAGATACTTCGACCAGTTGTATTGTGTACAAAGCATACCACAAACAGTACCTTCTGGGGTGAGAAGATGTGGCCACCTGGGATATAAAGGGTTAAAATTCCCACTCCGAGAGATGACCTAGTGGCGTGAAGTCAGGGCATGCAAGTCATGCATTACATGACCAGTCATAAAACTAAAGATGTGTAGATAAAATTATACAAGGAAATGTGTCTTTTATGTTTATTATTATTTTACCTTTTGTTTATTGTTGTTGTTTTTGCGCTGCGGCAACTTTCTAGTCCCATGCTGCGAGAACTCTGCATGTCTAGTCTCAATCATGTCATGCTACGCAAATTCTGCATGCCTAACCTTGCACAACTAGTAAAACCGCGCAAGTCATGCTGCGTTAAGATAGCAAGACAGCTAGTGCATGCGCAGAAGTCCAACGTTAACAATGTCAAGGTCGCATGCTTTACTTTGCTTCTCAAACTAAGAAGTCGGGAGAGTTGTTATGACGCTATTATAGAATAATTTATAAAGAAAGATTGTCGGCTGGGTTTCATCTACAAACAGGATGAATAAGCCTATTCTCTGTACGTGTTTTTTTTAAGAGTATATTACATTAATAAGTTATTACTGCATGATATATTGAAAACCCACCGTACATCATTTAATTTAGAACATACCCCGAAAGTAGCCGCTGCCAGATCCGTGATAATAATAGTCTTCATCGTCTTGGATACCGCTTTCTTTCCAGATGGTGCTGCTATCGCCACTTCCTGTTTCTGGAACGATCAACGACTCTGCCATTGGGGTCCTGGTTATCTGATGATCCAGAAGCTAAAAGAAACAAATAGATATAAATAGCCGATAATTTATTTTCTACATATCCAAAAAATATGATACATCAGATTCTGACTCTTCTTCTCTACGTTGTTCTTTAGGGGAGCTTGTCACCACTTCAAATCTATATTTATGTATCTAAATATACACTCACTGTAGTCTATATATATAAAACGGAAAATGAAGTTACCATTTTGTGACTAAATAAACACCCACCGTAGTCTCGTCATTTCAGCCGTGGGGGCATTATAATCTGACAGTCAATCCCACTATTCGTTGGTAAAAGAGTAGCCCGAGAGTCGGTGGGTGGTGATAACTAGCCGCCTTCTCTCAAGTCTTTCACTGCTAAATTAGGGACGACTAGCACAGATATCTCTCGTGTAGCTTTGCGCGAAATTCAAAACAAAACAAACTTTTGGTGGAGTTATTAATAATTTTAAAAAGTATAAGCATTTTTTTTATTGTGATATTTCATCACGTTATGTTGCCCAAAGTCTGACATTACACTCCTTCTATGATAGTCGAGTTGTATATCCATTAAACCAAATACAGATTACTTTGAAATACTTTCTTTTTTTTTACAACTTTTAACTGAATAGCGTCCTTACCATTCTCATGTTTACTAGTTTATCCACCAGGGAAGATATCGTCACATCTCGTTGTACTTTCGTGGAAAATTCAGGATTATATTTCTGTGCGCCTATTCCAATGCCCGCTATAGCCTTTTTGTATCTTGAAGTAAAACGAATTATTTATATTAGTATAAATATTACGTTTGTTCGATTTAAAGAATAAAAAAGTTAACATTGAAAACATACGCATATATCCACTTCAATTTTCAAATGAAAATAGTCACGACTATTTAAAGCAACATTATAAAATAGAAAGAAAATACTTTTTACATTGAACGCTTTCCGGGTCAACAAACAAAACCATTTAAATTTCATGTGTTATTAAGATTTTAATTATGTAGTAACAATATATTTTCTTACATTATTTTATTAATCTTTGGAAAAAAAAACAGAGTTGAAACGTCTTGCTAAATGCGATACAAATTACGTAGTCGCTTGTGTTCCTAAAAACTACGAAGGTGACTTAAGATCATGACGATGCAATATACAAACTGTTATAAAATGTACAATTAAATTACACGAATCCATTATCAATCCGATAAAGATGACGGCGAGAGACATAAAAAACTGTAGAATGGAAGAACATTTATTGACAATAAGGATTTAACAAGTGGTTTAATATGAACATTTGATGGAAAAATAATAAAAAACATAAACCATTTTGAACATTTAGATTCTGACTTGGAATAAGCGATTTCATCTACTGATGGAAACGTAAAAATACGCTTGGAAAAGATATTAGAATCTCCTGAACACGTGTTGTGTAATCTCGTTGATGGTTCTTCCCGTAAACTTGATTGAGTAGTCTATTCGTCATTGTCCCCCCCCCCAGCGGCACAGCGGTATGTCTGCGGACTTACAACACTAGAATCCGGATTTCGATACCCGTGGTGGGCAGAGCACAGATAGCCCATTGTGTAGCTTTATGTTTAATTACAAACAAACAAACTACTCGTCATTGATTAATTTTACGTTGCAGTTCAAGCTAACTTGGCAACAATTTCCAAGTATCATGAGTAAATAAATCCTTCAACGAAGAAAAATTCAAAGATTTAGGTTAAGACCTACAGAGATCAACTTAAACACACAAATTATCTCCTCTTGTCAAATCTTTTCTGAGCGCTACTTATGATCCTTAATATGCCTCTGTTAAAAAACTTCTCCCATGTGATTTTAAGACATTATAATTCATAATATGGGTTTCTTTATGTATTACGCACCCCCAATATTCTATAGTGTCACTTCTTTCTCGAAATGCAGGCTTACGACGCTAAAAATCGGGTTTCGATACCGTGGTGGGCAAAGCACAGATAGCTCATTGCGTAGCTTTGTGCTTAGCAATAACCAAAATACAACTAAACCAGAATGCTCTCGATGCTTTGCATCATAAAACTGATAAACAATAAAATATTACACGACATACGGTCAGCTTAAGATGGTTATGTCAGTCTTAAATCTTTATATCAAAATATCAGAGGAAAATAATCATCCTGTATTTATGAATAAGCTATTAACACCAACTATCTGGCGTCTGTCGGAAGCACCCTAACCCCCATGGCAAGGGTTTGACTGTCCCTCTTATAACACATTCATAGCTTTAAGTGTGGAGAATATATTGCGGCAGTGAATGGATGTAGATTATGTCATTTATAAGGTAAAGTTATAAGCAACTGAAATGTATATCTGATTGACAAAACTATGTCGGATTTTCAAAAAAATAAACCAAAAATTTGAGTTTGATGACAATAATATTTTCAATTGTACGAAAAAAAAAGAGGTATTTCTCTTCTTGTTTCTTTCTTGGAGTTTCACTAACCAAACATAGCTTGATGAAACTTGACACATTTTATTAAGCAAGAAACTTTCAGCTTAACTAACATGTAAACCGTACGAGAAAAAAAATAATAATCTTGCAGTTTGGTGTTTTCTTTATTGTACAAACAATACGTTTGAATAAACAGATTATGTCTCTCTGCACATTGACAGCCAAAGTAAACCATTCCGCCTAGGTGTTCTCTCTCTAGTGGGTGAGAGGTAAGTTTACGAGTTTACAATACTAAAATCAGGAATTAGATTCCCCGTAGTAGACAGAGTGCACATAGACCATTATGTAGATTTGCACTTAGGAAAATAAACGCCTAGGTATGTTTAAGGTAGCTACATTTCAGATACCCGTACTTTCTTGGGCAAACTTAAGCCTAACTATATTTCAGAAACAAAAGGTAGCTACATTTCAGATACCCGTACTTTCTTGGACTAACTTAAGCCTAACTATATTTCCGAAACAAAAGGTAGCTACATTTCAGATACCCGTACTTTTTTGGGCTAACTTAAGCCTAACTATATTTCAGAAACAAAAAAGAAGAAAACGTAAATTTTTAGAAACTTTTTAGTATACCCATACAAAATGTTTCCAGAAAATGTATTGCTCTTTTGGAAACCATTTTTTGACATGGAATAGGTTTTGGTCACATGATCTAACATTCTTCTCTGATTAGTTGGGAGGTAAAAAGTTCCCGAAACATCTCAGTTTTTGAATAAAGAACCTGTTTCTAATTGCCAAAAACTAGAAACTTTTCAACATATATATTGAGTAATTTTGTTCCCGAAATAAGCCTTCGCTTAGGCATCTATTGCATGCTGGGATTTATGTTCACCTTTGCTTATGTTGTTACTACACATTTTATAGTCACACCAAAGATCTTAATCATTTATATTTTACTTACTCCCCAACGTTATAACCATTCCAACAATTCATTTCCCCTCGTGAGGCCCACGTGCGGTCGTCACACACTGAATCGGCCAGATAACCGTAATAACCTTTGAACTCTGCAATTTTTTGAACGAAAGTCTTAAGGTCTTGATACAGAGTAGGCTTAAAACTGCTCGAAGTGGTGGCCGGGGTGGCTGAATCTTGGCTGGGGGGCGCTAAAGTTGGTTGAGTTGACCGTTCTGAACGTCGGTGGTTATCACAGTGTTGCTGAACCTAAGAGAGAGAGAGAAACATAAACAGTTATCATATTCATTTGTAGACTTAGAAAGCGTAACTTGTTTAGAGGATCTATCAGCATTGAAACAATAGATAAAATAATAATGTAGAGCTGAATTGCGTGATCAAATGTGCACAAATCCCAATACAAAATCATGTTCGTGAAATAATCAGCCACGGTATAGCAGCTCATAGTATGGCTCCGAGTTTTTCAAGTTCAAACTTTTAGCTCCTGGCTCCATCATCTCTTGATTGGTTTGAGATATAATTAAAATTTTGGACTCAGGAGGTCACACCCTTTCGATTGATGTATTTGACCACGCCAAAAGTCTCATAGATTAATTTACTCTAATCCTGCCTAAAAGAATTTCAATGTGAGGGTAGACTGGTAGAGATCCTGTTGAGTAATAAAATCGAATCGGATATACGCGAGCCTCACGCTTGGTATTAGTGGCGCACTAAAATATAGCTAAGAAAAAGAAAAGAAAAAGTCTCATAGATTAATTTACTCTAATCCTGCCTAAAATAATGTCAAGTCGAGGCTAATGAGGATTCCCTCTTGCTTCTGACCCTAGTGGCACAGTGGTATGTCTGCGGACTTATCACACTAGAAACTGGGTTTCGATACCCGTGGTGAGCTGAACACAGATAGTCCAATGTGTAGCTTTGTGCTTAATTACAAACAAACAAACTCTTGTTTTTTGAACTAGACAAATATTGCTAACATCTTATTTCCATTACTATACAAATTACTACAGACATATATAATTACTTTTGTGAACATACTTCCATTACTCCACAAATTAGTACAGACATATATAATTACTTTTGTGAACATACTTCCATTACTCCACAAATTAGTACAGACATATAATTACTTTTGTGAACATACTTCCATTACTACACAAATTACCACAGACATATATAATTACTTTTGTGAACATACTTCCATTACTACACAAATTACCACAGACATATATAATTACTTTTGTGAACATACTTCCATTACTACACAAATTACTACAGACATATATAATTACTTTTGTGAACATACTTTCATTACTCCACAAATTAGTACAGAGATATATAATTACTTTTGTGAACATACTTCCATTACTACACAAATTACTACAGACATATATAATTACTTTTGTGAACATACTTCCATTACTACACAAATTACTACAGACACATATAATTACTTTTGTGGAAACTAAGGCGAATATACATAGCTTGGTGCAAAAAAACAGGTCGTTAAGTAGTTAAGATTTAAAAAGACTTCTTTCTAAAAAACTATATGGTTTACGTCCTCCCTTATTTAAAGAGATTAATATTGTATTGATATTTTTATCTGAACGATAAGGAATGCACACGTTTGTTAAATGGCCAGATAGTATTCACGAACTAACATAGGTTTCGGGTACTTCCGTCCCTAATTTTGAACTACTGATAAGAGTTTTGTGGCGGATTGAAAAGCTAATAACGACATTAACTGTCAATCTTATGATGTGCCTAATCTAATTATATTTTAGTTGTCATTGCAGTAGTTCTAGTAAATTTGTTTTGTTGAATTTCGCTCAAGGCAACTCGAGGACTATCCGTTATGGTTGTGTTAAGAATATTCGTTTCGCTGTTAACCTGCAAGCGGCTGGTGGAATTAATGTTTATTTCTGGTCCAAAAGGGGATTCATTCGTACGCCCTTTCCCCTCCCCCCTCCTGGCGACGCCCCCGAAATTAGAGCTAAGCAGGAAACTTATTTATTGTTGTATAGGGTGGTGTGGTTA